TAGCAGTTCTACACATTTAGGTGACGATATATTTAATGGATCAAACGACTTACCTGAAGGTAGTTCGATCCTAATTATGCGAGCATACTTGTTAGTGGAAATAAAAATAACCATGTAGTATACCTATGTTACGCCGCTGACCCACATGTTCACATTTAAAATTTTACGTCTGCCTACATTACTCATTACCTATTGTGGAGCCTAGGAATTTGGGGTTAAAAATAATATAAATATGGTGGAGGTGGGACTTTATTTCAACTAACAAGGATACCCGCATAATTAGGATCGAACTTCCTTCAGGTAAGTCGTTTGATTCATTAATTTTGCTTCACATCCTTGTTAGTAGAAATAAAGATAACCATGTAGTTGTTTAAAGGATGTTCTATTCAAAATAAAACTAGATTTTTGCTTTCTACGTAAATGTATACAATAGAATATGCAAAAAAAAATATTACTATAAATTTTCCACAAAATTAACAATAATATTTAATAATAATACTAATGAATTAATCATTAACTAACGTAACAAAAAATGATATTGTATTTTAACAATCCAGTTTTATAATTTTTTAATACTTTTGCGAACGTTGGTTTTACGTTTTAATTGTAAAACTTGTTAAACAATACTGATCTCTTTGTCCTACAATTTCTCTAATGGTTTTGATATTGACGCAGATTATGAGGATGGTCGAGGTACATACGTATGTGTACTAAGTGCTTGGGCTACCCACCCAATAGTATGGGAAGATGCTGGATGGACTGGAGCGTTAGTGGTTAAAATAAAAGGTCCTGAAGACCTGTGAGACTTTGTTTTTTTTTCCCATAAAATAAAAATTGTTTTTGCCGAGCATAAATTGAGGTAATTCGTGGGGGAATGAAAATACTAATAAAGACTGGGCTCGTTGTGGAGTCGAAGTTTTAGCATTTCGTAAATGAAAATTTGTATATTGTTAGCTTCCACCTTGACATTTTCAACTTTAGTTTTAGAGAAAGTCTATACCTGTTGGGCTGCAAGCATAACAAGTTTGCCTCTTAGCTGTTTTAAGTTTTTCAAGTGAAAGAAACTACTGAAGTATTTTAAAACTGTGTTTTGATCTCAAGTTTGAATACATTTTGGCAAAATAGGATGACCTTTTTAGAAATTTCCTAAGATACATTTTCTTTTATTATTCAGGATTTCTATAATAGTTACAAGGAAGGTTTGCTGCAGTGAATAACTAGGTTTAATGTTGACATGTACCGTAAGAAGCATTTATTTATTTATTTTTTTTTTCTGTAACATAGGATGGTTGAGTTTCCCATTTTGGTACAATCACTATGCCTTCTGCTTGGTCTTTCTAATTTTAGTACTTATACAAGGAATGCATCAGCTACGTAACAATCGAGTTCTCGCACACTTTAAATAAAAAACACTTTGTTTTTATGATGAGTCATAGAGATTGTAAAGAATCAACCATTGTATTACAATATTTGAGACATTTATCACTAGATTTAGCTGTAATTAGGAAATCATTAAGGTTATTTCCAAAAGCCTTAGTTGATGGCACTACCGGTTTTAAAGTGTTTGCAAAAACATATAGAGCAAATGGTCAAACTAAATGTAAGACTCTCACATTCGTAAGTTATTTTCTTTTTTTTTTTCAAATACTTTCCTTATTTTTTATGTATTGAGATATAATAAGAGGCATCCTTTAATTTAATTTTTGACAAAATTGTCCTGTAATAAAATATTCTGGGCAGACCTGAGATCTTCCAGTTTGAAATTCGAGAATCTATTTATTTGTTAAAGATGAATCTAGATAAATCATTTCATTTGGGTCTCAAAAAATATGAGAATTAAACTAATTTTCTTTAGTATCTATCTGAATTAGGCCCACTTTTGTGTTTTAAAGATTAATTAAAAACTTTTAACATATCTTAGGAACATCTTATCATTAGTTAAGTAAGCCCACATGTTTTACAAATTTATTGAGTCTACCAGCAATCTATCTTACCTTTATTTCCTTCCCTAATAACTCCTTCTTACTTCTCTGTTTTTCTGAATACTTGTTGGTTCGTCCTTTGGGTTTTTTTTTATTTCTCCTGCTCTTTTTCTGGCATGGTTTTCTTTAGTCGCTATTTAAAAGTAGGCCCCCTGAAGTTTAAAGATTGATTGAAATTATTGTTTGCTTTTAGTTGGTGCCTTTAAATTAAATGTATGCTAGTTTTTTCAAATGCTTTGTCTGACTTCCATATCTCTACAAGATTCTTTCCAAAATGAAAAACCATCGATATCTGCTTTTTCTATCATATTTTTCACATTTGTGTTTAAAGACGGATACATAAGGTGCCTACGATGCATATATTCTATGGTAGATGTCTGATAATACTTTTGTCACATTTGCATTTGTTTGGATGCGTCTATTTCTGTTCTATCCAAGCCTAGCTTACAGAGGTTCAGCTAAACTTCCCATCACCTTTCAAGTTGGTCTTGCAGCATATATAAATAGCTTTTGGTTATTTGATGACGTGACTAGTTACTAAACTTTTTGGTTCGGAGTTTAAGGTGGGGGACCTAAGTGAAAGTATTCCATATTTTGATTTCGTAAAGAAACTTTGATATTTTTCCATCTCCAAACCGTCTTTTCCCAACTTTTTACCATTTCTTCGTTGATTGGTTTTCCGAGAGAGATGTTGCTTTTAGGATCCGTTCCCAGAATATCCTGATACTGAATTTGATCCTTACATCATCATTGTGTTGTCAACCCCCTCATCCCCCGCACCCTTTACTTCAAAATTTTCAATGGGACTACTTACTTGTGATACATCATTTTAAAGGGAATTTAATCCCAAATACATCGGTATACTGAAATTGAGGATTGATCAAGTGTTGTTGAAGTTTTAATGAAGTTTTATCAAGATATTTTTATTTTTCATCACCTAAAATGTTATCATCGTAAGTAGATTCACTGTGGGAACGCCACTATATTGAAAATTAATATACTTTCAGAAATAATAGATTAAAAGGTAAGACAGACGTTTTTATGAAAAAAAAAAAAAATATATATCGCCATGTGTTTTTGTATACGCATATCTTTGTTGAAGCCTTGGTATATTGATGTATTCGATTTACTTCATTCAACAATTTGAAAACTGTCGAAAATGGTTTATACTATACAAGAGAGGATATCCATTGTAGCTGTGTATTTTGAAAATGGACGATGTGCTAGAGCCACGGCTCGAAGTTTCAATTAAATTCATCCAGAAAAAACCGCATCATATCAGTACGTGATTCAATTGATGAATAAGTTCCTGAAGTCGGGATCAGTGCTGAATAAAAAACATGAACGAGAGAAGCCTATGAGAAATGAAGGGGTCGCTGTTGCAGTTGTAGGACATGCAGTGATGGACAACATTCAATCTTTAAGACAACTTGAGACTATTTCTGGAGTTTCTAAAAGCAGCGTACATCGAATTCTAAAAGAAGCAAAATTCCATCCTTATAAAATGCAGAATGTACAAGAATTAAATGAAGATGATCCTGACAGACGTACAGTGTTTTGTGAAATCATGAGTCAATTATTGATTGGTGATAATAATTACCTCTACAATGTGTGCTTTTCTGACGAATCTTCTTTTGAACATGTGAACAGGCACAACTGCAGATACTGGAGTAACGTAAATCCCCATTGGTACAGGGAAACTCATTCACAAATTCCCCAGAAATTTAATGTTTGGGCTGGTATTCTGGAAGATCATATTGTAGGTCCATATTTTATTGATGGTAACCTCAACGGACAAAAGTATCTTGATATTCTTGATACAACTGTGAACCCCAGAATCACTGAATTACTTGAAGACGATGATGGTCTACTTGAAGGTCAGCTCACCTTTCAACAAGATTGAGCTCCTCCACATTTTGTTGCACCTGTACGTCAATTTTTAGATGACAATGTCACAGGAAGATGGATTGGAAGGCAAGGACCAATAGAATGGCCGGCTGATCTCCTGATTTATCACCATTAGACTTTTTTATGGGGTCATTTAAAATCCAAAGTTTATATTACACAGCCAAATTCTCTTGATGATCTACGCAGGAGAATTGTTGTAGAGTGACGTTCAGTGACTCCAGAAATGTTGAGAAATGTGCGAAAACATTTCGAAATTTTAAATCTGAACATGTGGGTCAGCGGCGTAACATAGGTATACTACATGGTTTTCTTTATTTCCACTAACAAGGATGTGAAACATAATTTAAGGACAGACTACAGAACCTAAAAGAAGGTCATTAAATTCTACCAAATGAATATAAAATTTAATATTCATTCTAGAAAGATCGGACTACTATTTTTTTTTAAATTTTAAATAAGTGACACTTTTGCCAAACTAATTGTCACTATATTTTTTAGTTATTGAGAATAAATATAATTTAAAATAGGTGTTTTTGTGAAGAATCGTTAAAAAAATAACATTTCACAAAATATTCGTCTATATTACAAATAAATCGTAAATTTTATTGACACTAAACCAATCTAATTATCAGTATTAAAAAAAATCAATCCCTTTATTATTTATTATTGTTATTGAAATTGTAGGTGTTAATTTTTTGAACTATTTACCCTTAATTGTGAAATAATATTTGCATTATTTTTAAAATTTCCTATTTATACAAAAAATGCAGACATAATGTCGGAAATTTAACGTAACTTGGCTTCAATGGTTTATATCTACTCAACGCTTTGACCTTACTTTCGTTAGCGAAAACCGGTACCATTTAGAGAAAATAGTTTTGAGTAAAATACTTTATTAAACAGATATTGAACGTGGTTGATATCCAAGATATGTAACGGTTCTCAGTTGTGATTTGGTCACTTTTCAACTCCCGCCTTAAATGAAGTTTGTAGTTTATTTGCAACATCTTCATGATCTTTGCCTATATCTGTAATGGCAGTATTATCTACAACTTGAGAACATTAGGTTATAATCTTTTAATATTTTTACTATTAACATTTTGTTTCTAGATTACCAAATGCGCCTAGACCTGTTAACATCGTTTCAGAAGAAATACTTGTTAAACCAGGATTAGAACGAAAACGCGGAAAATCATTTGAACAAGACGGAATCCCCGTCATCGAAGGTCAAAGAGTACCTGATGATCCTTCAGATAAGAAAACATGGAGAAACGCTAGAGTTATAAATAATAAATTAATACCATATGAAGAAGGTTATAAACCACCAAGAGCGGTACCTCTTGAAGAATTAATCTACCCCATATCGAACGAGCAGAAAAATTCAGATCATGAATCCATAGGTCCTTTTTCTAAAGAAGATAATTTTAAAACAACCACTAACAAGAAAACCTCATACGGACCATTCACCGTTCACGATAATGATAATTTGGACCAATTAGAATCGGATAGTAAATCGTATCTCAAATTCAATTCGAACGAACAAAGTTCCTATCCTAAATTCGATAATTACAGACCCGCCGACAATAATTTAATGAAGTTTATCACAGAAATAAATTCGAAAGAAGCCACAAAGAGTTATCATAATAAACGACAATATAGATCAAACAGGGATAGCGATGGAAGTAACAAATTTGAAAGAAGAATGTTACAGTATCCTGGTAAGTTTCATTTAGAATGTTACTGTAAAAATGTCAAATATCTCCTGCAATAAACAGACGTCTACAGAACGATAGCACAAAAATAAATACTAACTAAAAATTATGTATTATGTTTCATTTATATCTACAAAATTTATTCGCATCACTATCAGAGGAATTTTTGTAGTCTTTATATTACAAATAAGTCCTGCTTTTTTGTCTTCTTCTATGACTGACAATGTCACTAAACTACAACAAAATCAACAAATAGTCAATAATAAACAAACGATAAAAATATTTAAGCAAAATAATAATGTTGGAAATACATCAAACATATCCTTTAAAAATATGAAAGCCAACCCTGCCTAAGCTACGTAAAAACGATTTGTTATTGTTTTAGTGGAAATTTCATATCCAAATTCGGCATTGTACACTTCGCAAACAACAAAATTGAGTCCAGTAAATTTTAATGATGGCGTTAGAACTCCAGTTCTTCAATACGCTCATCCCGAATTAGGCGTACAACCGGCGAAAGCCACAACTGACGACGAATTTAAGAAATTCGAGCACGAACGCAATACACAATCATATGATACAGGGCGATATAATCAATATTACACCAATCTCAACAGTATGGATTATAATAGGTAAGCGCATTGATATAATTTTTATTAGGGACTTCCAAAGTTTAGAGTAAAACATTTATTACCCCTTTATTAACCCTCCAAATGCAATAAAATCTATTTTGATTTGAAAAATCAGAAACTGTACAAAATCTAAGGAAGGATTCTCTTGTTTTCAAGTCACTTTATTTTTTAAATATTTTCAAATAATTAGTTGTTTTCTTTTCCGCCGACAAACTGTGTTACAAGTTACAAGTCGAAATTCCGAGTTACTAGTCGGAAATCTGGGTTACAAGTCGGAATTCCAAATTACAAGTCGTAATTCTTATATACAAGTCAGAATTTCGAGATACAGGTCAGAAATCAGAGATATAAATCGGAATTTCGAGTTAAAAACCAAAATTACGAAATATAGGTCGAGATTCTGAGATTACAAGTCGGAATTCCGAGATACTAATCGGATTTTTTTTCAAATAAAAACTTATTCCAAGATACAAGTCGTAATTCCGAGTAATAAGTCAAAATTTCAAATTACAATTTGGAATTCCGAGACACAAGTGAGAATTCGGAGATACAAGTCGAAAGTCAGATATAAATCGGAATTCCGACTTACAAATCAAAATTCCAAGTTTTAAATTAAAATTTCGAAATATAGGTCGAGATTCCGAGGTTACAAGTCGGAATTCCGATTTTGCCAAACACAAACTCATTTCTAATTTATAAATGTTAACTTTACAAAATCTAACAAATCGGAATTTTAAGACAAAAGTCGGAATTCCGAGTAACAAGTCGGAATTCCGAGATATAAGTGAGAATTCTAAGATATAAATCGGAATTCCGAGTTAAAAATCGAAATTCCGAGATATAGGTCAAGATTCAAAGGCTAAAAGTAGGAATTCAGACTTGTATGTTGGAATTCCAAAATACAAATTGGAATTCCGAATTGCCAATCGGAATTTTAATTTGTTTTTTAAATAAAAACCCATTTCTTATTTAAAAAGTTTACTTTACAAAACCTTACTTACAAGTCGTAATTCCACTGATACAAGTCGCAATTCCGAGTAACAAGTCAGAATTCCGAGATATAAGTCAAAATTCCAAGATACAATTCGGAATTCCCAGTTACAAGTCAGAATATTAAAAAATAAGACAAAATTCAAAATTACCAATCGGAATTTTAAATTGTTTATCAAATAAAAACCTATTTTGTTTTTATAAATATTTATAAGATCTTACTTGCAAGCCGGATTTCAAAGACACAAGTCGGAATTCCGAGTTACAAATCAAAATTTTGATATACATGTCGAATTTCTGAGGTTACAAGCTAGAATTTTGAGTAACAAGTCGAAATTCAGAGGTACAAGTCGGAATTTAAAGATATAAAAATTCTAAGTTAAAAGTCGAAATTCTGAGGTACAGGCCGGGATTCCTATGTTACAAGTTGGAATTCCGAGATACAAGTTTGCCATTCGGAATTACGTTTTTTTTAAATAAACACCCATTTCGTATGTATAAAATTTACAAAATCTTTACAAGTCGGATAAATGTTTACTTTACAAAATCTTACAAATCGGAATTCAGAGCTGCAAGTCGGAATTAAGATATATAAATCAGAATTCCGAGTTACAAGTCGAAATTCTGAGATACAGGTCGGGATTCCGAGATAATAAGTCGGCATTCCGAAGTACGAGTCGAAATTCCGAGTTACAAGATGGAATTCCGAGATTACTAGTCCGAATTCCGAGATACAAGCTGGAATTCCGAGTTATAAGATAGAATTCTAAGATACAAGTCGGAATTACAAGTTACAAGTCGGAATTCCAAGCTTAAAAGTCGGAATTAAGAGATATAAATCGGAATTCCAAATTACAAATCGAAATTCTAGAATAGACGTTGGGATTCCGAGATTATAAGTCAGCATTCCGAGATACGAGTCGAAATTTCGAGCTACAAGTCGAAATTCAAAATTGCCTATCGGAATTCCAATATTTTTTTAAATAAAAATCCATTTCGTATTTAAGAAAATTATTTATTTCACAAAATCTTACCTACATGTAAGATACAAGTCTAAATTCAGAGTTATAAGATGGAATTCCAAGCACAAGTCAGAATTACAAGTTACAAGTTGGAATTCTGAGCTACAAGTCGGAATTAAGAAATATAAACCGGAATGCCGAGTTACAAGTCGAAATTCTAAGATATAGGTCGGGATTCTGATGTTATAAGTCAGCATTTCGAGATACGAGTCAAAATTCCGAGCTACAAGTCGAAATTTTAAATTGCCAATCAGGGAATTCCAATATTTTTTAAAATAAAAACCCATTTCGTATTTATAAAAAATATTTACTTTACAAAATCTTACTTATATGTCGGAATTCCAAGATATAAGTCGGATTTCCGAGTTACAAGATGTAATTCCAAGATTACAAGTCTGAATTCCGAGATACAAGTCGAAACTTGGAATTTCCATTTGGAATTCCAATTTTTTAAAATAAAATCCCATTTCGTATTTATTAACAATGTATACTTTACAATATCTTACTTACACGTCGGAATTCCGAGTTATGAGATGGAATTCCAAGATACACGTTGGAGTTTAGAAATATAAATCGAAATTTCGAGTTACAAGTCGAAATTCCTATTCGCTAGTCGAAATTCCGAGTTACAGGTCAGGATTCTGAGGTTAAAATTTAGAATTCCAAGATACAAGTCGGAATTCACAGATAAAATTCTGAATTTGAGACAGAGGTAGGGCTTCCGAGGTTACAAGTCGGAATTTCGAGATACGAGTCGAAATTCTAAAATACAAGTCCGATTTTAGAGATATAAATTGAAATTCCGAGACACAGGTCGGCATTCCAAAGTTACAAGACGGAATTTCGAGATACGAGTCGGAATTTCGAGATTGGCAAATCTAAATTCCGATTATTTTTTAAATAATAATAAATCTTGTATTTATAAATGTTTACTTTACAAAATTTTATTTACAAGTCGGAATTCAAAGATACAAGTTGGAATTTCAAAATACAAGTCGAAAGTCCGAATTGCCAATCGGAATTCCGAGTTTTTCAAATAAAAACCCATTTTGTATTTATAAATGTTTACTTTATAATATCTTACAAATCAGAATTCTAAGATACAAGTCGGAATTTCGAGTTACATGACGGAATTCCAAGATATAAGTTTAAATTCAGATATATAAATCGGAATTGCGAGTTACAAGTCGAATTTCCAAGATACAGGTCAGAATTTCGAGGTTACAAGTCGATATTCTGAGATACAAGTCAGAATTGTAAGACACAAGTCGGAATTTTGAGTTACAAGTTGAAATTTCGAGATACACGTGGGAATTCAGAGATATAAATCGAAATTTCGAATTACAAGTCTAAATTTCGAGATACAGATTGGTATTCATAGGTTATAAGTCGGAATTTCGAGATACAAGATCGGAATTCTGAATTTCAAGTCTGAAACCCGTTTTGTATTTAAACATGTTTACTTTACAAAATCTATGGAGTTTTTATATTTAAACATTATTTTAGAAAGGATGTACTGAATTATCCATACAATACTTACTACATCGAGACGAAAAACGAAGAACCATTTTGGATAAAAATCACCGAAAGAATTAGAGATAAGGTTCAAAGTAGCTTTCAACATATGCATCAACTTACAAAGCCAGTGTTCGATCCTCTCGTTGAAGCTACCCAAAAAATTTCGCAAAATCTAGGTTTCGGTAATCGAAAACAACATGCTCAAGATAGAACTGGTGTCTTTGCACCTGTAGGCACTTCAGTCATTTTGCCAGCTTTAGGACTTGTTGCTGGAGGAGCAGCTTTAGGTGAGTTTTTAAAATAGTTTTTATCTATGCTCATATCAGTTTATTGATTTTTGTTAAAAAGAATCCTTAGAGCATTAGAGGTGTTATTCAATGTATATTACTATTCAAAAGGAGGATTATCACTGTGTAAAATATACTTATCTAAATGATGTACTGTTCTTATTTTATCAAATGTTTACTATCTATACATTCACAATATTTGTATTAATATATATTAAGGTTTAAATACGTCCATTTCGTTCGCATTTAAACACTAACGAATCAAAAAACATAAGCCGGTACCTATCAGAAGAAGAAAGATAGCACAATTAATATACAAGACTAAATAAAAATATCAGACATACTATAAGAGGTAGTCTAACGTTTACAGACAGAAAAGACTAGTACCATCTTTTATCTTCCTAATAATATAAAGGTTCTCTCACATGAAATAGTTTAAACAAGTATCTTATTATGATATACACAATTTATCCAATAAAAATTAAAGCTGAATAACATTCACAGCGTATGAGGACTAAACGGAGGTGCATATAGATAAAAAGATAATTCATATACATAATATATTTATTTTCTGTTGTAATTGTTGTTCAATATATTAATACGCAGTAGATCACTTATATAACGTTTATTTAATGAAGACAATGAATATGCAAACAGCGTTCTAATTATTGTTAATACCAGAGACAACCATTCTTTATCATCTACATTAGAGACACACGAACAACCTTCTTTCTCTCTTTTGACATCTGACTTTTGACATCTGACATTTGACATTACATTTATCTTAGATAGTCAATAACTAAAATTGTACTTAATATAAGGTAAAAAGAAAGCATTACTTATGAATAAATGGGTTTATAACAACATTTTCTAACTCGATACTTCATAGCGCAAATATCTATCCATCTACGACCTACGTGTTTCCAGCTGCAGACAGCGGGTTAAACAAGGAATCTATTCATTATATTTGGCTAATTTTATATATTAATGTATTTCTAACAATTATTGTTACAAATGGGAATGTAACGATTAAAATCTCTTAAATTTTTAAATCAGGTCTGGGAGCTGCAGCGGTAGGACATTATTTTACACCGATTGAACTACAAAGAGCCCATTCAAACGATCTAGTAGTGTTTTTAAAAGACGATCTAAACCGATACGGAAATCACGAGAGGGTCAAAAGGAGTTCGCAAGATGATTTCAATATACAAAAACTAAGAGAAAACGAGCCGCAAAAACCCGAACGTTATCACGAACTGTCATCGATGAGCATCTGGTCCGATACTCCTTGTTCGAAGAGAGTGTTTTGTGAGGTTATGTTGCAGCAAGGTCCCGATGAAAATTTGCTGATGGAGAAGAAGATGGAGCAGTTGTTGTTAACGTAAGTTTATTTTATACTTTCTTTTAATTAATTTACTTATTACTATTATTGAATTTTGAATTTTATTTTTTTTCAAATATCTTCGATACGGTCCATTTTAGGGACATCTTGTATGTAATTAAAATTATAATGACATAACGGAAATTTTTTATCTCTAATCATAAATAAGAGAAATATAACAAAAAGTAAAAAATAACCGCCCATTTGCTTCGACTATGACTACAATCAAATCAGCTTTCCAGGACATTTTTATCTTTAATAAATACAGGGTGTCCCAGCTAAAACTTGTCACTCCCCTATTCTCCAAACTCGTGAAAAAAATTGAAAATCGCTCAGAACCGTCTATTTTTTTTTTTAAAGGGGGAACACTTTCACCAAATACATCATCATTGTGTTGTCAACCCTCTCATTCCCAGCACCCCCTACTTCAAAATTTTCAATGGGACTACTTACTTGTGATACATCATTTTAAAGGGAATTTAATCCCAAATACATCGGTGTACTGAAATTGAGGATCGATCAAGTGTTGTTGAAGTTTTAATGAAAACTAAGTTTTATCAAGATATTTTTATTTTTCATCGCCTAAAATGTTATCATCGTAAGTAGATTCACTGTGGGAACGTCACTGTATTGAAAATTAATATGTTTTTAGAAATAATAGATTAAAAGGTAAGACAAACGTTTTTATGAAAAAAAAAAAAAAAAAAAAATTATCGCCATGTGTTTTTGTATACGCATATCTTTGTTGAAGCCTTGGTATATTGATGTATTCGATTCACTTCATTCAACAATTTGAAAACTGTCGAAAATGGTTTATACTATACAAGAGAGGATATCCATTGTAGCTGCGTATTTTGAAAATGGACGATGTGCTAGAGCTACGGCTCGAAGTTTCAATGAAATTCATCCAAAAAAAAACCACATCATATCAGTACGTGATTCAATTGATGAATAAGTTCCTGGAGTCGGGATCAGTGCTGAATAAAAAACATGAACGAGAGAAGCCTATGAGAAATGAAGGGGTCGCTGTTGCAGTTGTAGGACATGCAGCGATGGACAACATTCAATCTTTAAGACAATTTGAGACTATTTCTAGAGTTTCTAAAAGCAGCGTACATCGAATTCTAAAAGAAGCAAAATTCCATCCTTATAAAATGCAGAATGTACAAGAATTAAATGAAGATGATCCTGACAGACGTACAGAGTTTTGTAAAATCATGAGTCAATTATTGATTGTTGATAATAAATACCTCTACAATGTGTGCTTTTCTGACAAATCTTCTTTTTATTTAAATGGACATGTGAACAGGCACAACTGCAGATACTGGAGTGACGTAAATCCCCATTGGTACAGGGAAACTCATTCACAAATTCCCCAGAAATTAAATGTTTGGGCTGGTATTCTGGGAGATCATATTGTAGGTCCATATTTTATTGATGGTAACCTCAACGGACAAAAGTATCTTGATCTTCTTGATACAACTGTGAACCCCAGAATCACTGAATTACTTGAAAACGATGATGGTCTACTTGAAGGTCAGCTCACTTTTCAACAAGATGGAGCTGCTCCACATTTTGTTGCACCTGTACGTCAATTTTTAGATGACAATTTCACAGGGAGATGGATTGGAAGGCGAGGACCAATAGAATGGCCGGCTAGATCTCCTGATTTATCATCATTAGACTTTTTTTTATAGGGTCATTTGAAATCCAAAGTTTATATTACACAGCCAAATTTTCTTGATGATCTACGCAGGCGAATTGTTGTAGAGTGTCGTGCAGTGACTCCAGAAATATTGAGAAATGTGCGAAGACATTTCGAAAATCGCTTATACTTCTGTATGGAACTGAATGGTTCACATTTTGAACCTTTCATATGATGATAACATTTTAGGTGATGAAAAATAAAAATATCTTGATAAAACTTAGTTTTCATTAAAACTTCAACAACACTTGATCGATCCTCAATTTCAGTACACCGATGTATTTGGGATTAAATATCCTTTAAAATGATGTATCACAAGTAAGTAGTCCCATTGAAAATTTTGAAGTAGGTGGTGCTGGGGATGAGGGGGTTGACAACACAATGATGATGTATTTGGTGAAAGTGTTCTCCCTTGAAATAAAAATCGACGGGTCTAAGCGATTTTCAATTTTTTTCACGAGTTCGGAGATTAGGGGGGTGACAAGTTTTAGCTGGGACACCCTGTATAAAAAAGTAATATTAAATGGTATTTGGTTAAATTTAAATTAATAAAGTATTAAAATGTTGGTGAATAATAATAATAATGAATAAGAAATAAAACCTTGTATTTTTAGTTAGTTTATTTAAAAAAAATTATAAAAATCTACTAAGCGATATTTTTTGGGCCAAAAATTAATCCAAGTGCCCTGTGAGGACGCCTCAATACACCTCATAAAATTGTCAACAAATTTAAAAAAATTTATTAAAATTTCTCAAAGCCTTTTTTCGATATTAATTAAAAACTATATTTAAAAAAATTAATAAAAAACTATTTAAAAAATATATCAAAAAAGAAACAAAATTGCAGTATGTTTTGTAGAGGAAAGTATATTTAATTTTTAATAAACTATCAGCTAGTAAAATACTGTAAGTACGCCTCTGTAATAACTGAAACTACGATAACATGTCCGCAATACATCGCATAAAGCTGTCAACAAATTTTAAAAATTTTCTTAAAATATCAAGGCCATTTTTAGATATTAATAAAAACTATTTGAATAAATTAACAACCCTGTATATCAAAAAAGAAACAAAATTTGTTTTATTGGTCAAATTATTTTTAATTTGTGATAAACTATCGTCTAGTAAAATATTGTAAGCACGCCTCTGTAATTACTGAATCTACGGTTACATGTCCGCAATACACCTCATAAAGTTATCGACAAATTTAAAAAAATTAATTTAAATTTATTAAAGCCATTTTTAGATAATAATAGAAAACTAAAAAAAATAAACACCCTGTATATTAAAAAAAAAAACAAAATTGGAGTATGTTTTATTAAAAAACATTATTTTTAATTTTTGATAAACTGTTGGATAGTAAAATACTGTGAGCACACCTCTGGAATTACTAAATCAACGGTAACATGTCCACAATATATCTCATAAAGCTGTCAAATAATTTTAAAAATTTTCGTAAAATCTCTCAATGCCATTTTGAGATATTAATAAAAACTTGACAAGGGGGGTAGCCATGTGTGAGTTGAAGTAATTTTAAGGTGAAGGGGGGAGAAAAAGTCCTTTATATCTCACAAGGAAAGTCCAATGTTTAATTATTCAACAAAACATTGAGTGCGACCGGTTTCGAAGTAACATCACTTCATCTTCAGGCTCGCCTAGTGGAAAGGAGAATATGTGGTGTAAGGTGTGTTGACTTTGAGCCCACAATATAAAAAATAGTAAAAAATAGAAAAAACTCACCATACTCTCCATCCACTAGGGAATACTACAAACCAGTTTTCTCAACACTAATCTAAATTTATCGTTCTAACTTCCTTTTTAACCTCCCCCTTTATTTCTATTCACATATTTCCTTGCAAGGGGTACATTTCAGTAAGTAATTTTTTTCCCACAAAAAACCAACGTGCATGTTTAAGGACTAGGTTAAGTTGTGCGTTTTCACATCTGTCATTTTCTTCTTCTTTTATTTTTCAGTTGCTTCACAACAGTTAACCCAGTCATCTCTTCTTCTTTCTTATTTTATCCTACAACATCACATACACTTGGTGATTGGTTCATGGCCCAAATCTTATATAATAAATATTTCTTCACTCATAGTTTACATCTTATTACCTATACCCTGTCATAAGTTTATCCAAGAATTTTTCTTTAGTACTTACCACCACCTGTAGAGGCCTTAACTTGACAGGTCTCCTTTCAAAAATGTTAGATTTTTATAAAAAACAGCAATGTTTGCTTAAAACAGGCCTTATCTTTTAATCTGTTTAATGTATGTAATTTGTTTTTGTATCGTCTTGAATATTTTAAAATTTTTAACTGTTTTATCGACTAATATTTGTTTTTCAAATATTTTTAACTTTATAACTTGTAACATTGTTTTGTTTTACAATTTATTTCATCCCCCACGTTTTGATGAAACTGGTTTGTAGTATTCCCTAGTGGATGGAGAGTATGGTGAGTTTTTTCTATTTTTTACTATTTTTTATATTGTGGGCTCAAAGTCAACACACCTTACACCACATATTCTCCTTTCCACTAGGCGAGCCTGAAGATGAAGTGATGTTACTTCGAAACCGGTCGCACTCAATGTTTTGTTGAATAATTAAACATTGGACTTTCCTTGTGAGATATAAAGGACTTTTTCTCCCCCCTTCACCTTAAAATTAATAAAAACAATTTAAAAAAATTAACATCCTGTATACCAAAAAAACAAAATTTGTTTTATTGGTCAAACTATTTTTAATTTTTAATAAACAATCGTATAGTAAAATATTGTGAGTACGCCTCTGCAATTACTGAATCTACGGTAACATGTCCGCAATGCAACTCATAAAGTTGACCAAAAATTTTAAAAATTTCATTAAAATTTCTCAAAGCTTTCTTTAGATATTAATAAAAATCCTATTTAAAAAACTAACACCCTGTATATCAAAAAAGAGAAACCAAATTTAAGTAAGTTTTATTGGACAAACTATTTTTAAATTTTGATTACCTACCGGCTAGTAAAATACTGTGAGCACGCCTTTGAAATTACTGAATCTACTGTAACATGTCCGTAATACATCTCATAGAGTTGTCAACAAATTTTAAAAATTTCATTAAAATTACTCAAGTCATTTAAGTTGTCAACAAATTTTAAAAATTTTATTAAAATTTGTCAAAGCCTTTTTTATATAATAATAAAAAACTATTAAAAAAAATTAACATGCTGTATATAAAAAAAAAATATCGGACAACTATTTTTAAGTTTTGATTAACTATCGGCTAGAAAAATACTGTGATCACGTCTCTGCAA